TCATGTTCATTACCTCATGTATCTTATGAACTTAATAATCAATGGACTTATTCATTGAATCTTCAATCACTTCAAATAAAGATTTGGGATATTCGTGTTTATACTCAAATTCTTGATGCTTGTCCAAAACTTATTCATTTAAAAATTGAACTCAATGGAGGAAATAGTCAAGAAAATATTCAAGTCTTACATTCAAATAAAAATCATTCTGTACTTCGATATCTAGCTCTTTATCTTTCTAATCCAATAACACATGATTTTATTGATTCAATACTTTCTTTTATACCTCATCTTGAATATTTTGTGCTCGATATTAAATATCAACGACCAAGTTCTATATCATTAAATACACTGGCGTCTATTCTTGAATATCGTACACCAAGATTGAATCGAATTCATATTAATATTACTCTACCGAAAAATCTTTGTTGTAAAGAACAAATGGATACGAAATATTCATTATTTACTTCATATAAAATTCAGCATGAAGTCAATCAGCTGACAAGATTTATCATTGTCGGATCAGTGAGAGAATAGAATTCAAAAGAATACACTAATTTTTTTTCCTCATATTTTTTTTTTTCGAAAAGTGAAAATCTTTTTCTTTTTATTAAAAGATAATCGAGAGAAATCGAGTATGCTAAAATTCTCTTGTATTTCGAAAGTTTATTTATTGTATCAAAATTAAAGGAAACAAAATCTATAGAAGAAACAATGCTTTAAATGTTTTCTCTAATTTTAATCACAGAAAACTTCAAATTCAATAATTTTCGATGAATTTTTTTGAAAAATCAAATTTACATTTTTGTGTTACAGTGGCCATCCAGCTGATCGACGTATACCTCTAGATGTTAATGCAATTATCTATATTCGACATATAATTCAGTATAATTTTACCTTCTTTTAGGGAATATTTAGCATCAGTTGACGATACTATGACATAGTCCGTTTGCACTCTTAATAAAAATATAATCGTATTGAATTCTTAACTTTTGAACTCTTCAAAAAATATTGTTAAATATTGAATTGTAGATCAAACCCTGAGAGTATTGAGTACCGTGGCAGATGAAGTACGGGTCGGATGAGTACAGAGAGTAATTCTTGCTCAACATTATCTACATGAGCTTTTAGTATTTAAGACGACGTTTTAAATGAGATGATATTATCTCTTTTAACGCTCCCAAATACATCTTGACATTATTACAAAACTTATTGTTTTCTTGATAAATGTTTCCAACAATAAATTCAGAATATAATTATACTGATAATAAAATAAGGGAAATAATAATACAATTTCATTAAGTATTATACAGATTGAATCGAAAACAAGAAAATTCACTGATAAAACTCAATCCAATTTTAATTTAACATGTGTTTGAGTTCGCAATCGAACAACTTATGAACAATCGTCTTGAGTTAAGATATTTTTTCAAACGATGCATGTTATGATTAATATAGAACATTGAAAAACTTGTCTTACTAAATTCATAGAATCAAAATTATTAACGTAATATTTGGGTCACATTTCTTCACCATTCTTTTACTTAATCCTCCACAAATGCAACAAGAAAGTGGTTCATATATTATAATAAGACTCTATTAATATACAATCTATGATCGTATATCAAAAATGTTCGTCACAGTCTGAGAGAGAGAAGGAACGAGTTTCCTGTGTAACATAATAAACAATAGCTTTATTAACATATCCTAGGATGGTCATCGTAGTGATTATATGTCTGTTATCATTATCTTTTATATGCAAATGATACGTTGTAGAGAACAGAATGATCATCAGTCTATTCTCATGTATCTATATATCTTTTTTCAAGAGTATTTCGATTGATTATTTTCTGAAGAAACAAAAAAATAATATTTTGAACGTACCTAACTGTATTAAATTATATCCCATGAAAAAAAAAACTTGATCTCTATGACTCAAACGCTTTCACTATGACACTATGCGTGGTAAAGCCAATGTTTATCACCAAGTACGGTTACATAGCCATAAATCTATAGTCAAACATACTTAAAACAAATTAATTTTTCAACAAATATACTAAGAAAGAAAATATTTGAATAAATAACTATATCTATATAGTAATAAATTTCTATTTAAATTTTTTCCCTGTTTAAAAATCAAAATAAATAGTTTTATTTTTCATTCCATGTTATATAACGAAAAAAAAAAAAAAGATCTTCTGTCTTTTATTCTTATTGAGTAAATTTTGTTAAATAGTATCGATTATTTGATACTATTTTATAATTTAAATATGATTTCATTACATCAATCAAAGTATTGAATTTAGATCGAATATTGTTCATTCATGCAATTCAATGCTTACTTAAGAAAGACATATTTTTTTTTAATGTATTTAATTTAAATTTAACAAATTTTCAAAGCATATGATCAATATGTCGAATAAGTTATCAATTCATGTAATATATATTTGAGCCTTTCTCAATAATTCATTTTGTCCAACTACATGGATAAATTAAAAATCAATAGAATTTTTCGAATTTTATTTTTGTTTATCCTTTTCTAGGCATATCTTCTTTTTTTTTTTTTTACTGATAGATTCTTAATGATTTCCAAATACCATTCTGTTATCTTACAGTATGCAAACAACAAGTAATTGTTAAAAAACATTAAGCAATATGTGTAATAACATGTTTATGTTTGCATAGATGTAATACATGTGTTAAACTCTTGTTCCAATGTAACATAAAATAAAGTACGCATCATATTTCAATCAATAATAGTTTTATGTTGGATATAAATATCCTTTTTTTTTTTTTGTTCATTCAAGTATTAACATACAATCATTTTAAAAATAAAATATTCAATATCTAGTCTATCTTCGTTGGTTCAGTAATAATAAGACTTAATTTTTTCGTAGACAAGAAACATTATCACTTTCTTACATGTATAACGTAAAATAAGAAGTTTCAATCAGATGATTAATAAAAAAAAAAAATGACTATAATTATTCGAATACAATTCGAGATAGATTTAATTTAGACTAAGTTTTATTGTAGAATTAAAAAATTTAATCACATTATTTCGATTATATTTGCCATGAGAATTCAGTTGAATTTCTAATAGAAAAATTATTTCTTTAAAAATTCTCTTAGAAAAAACTTTATACACTATCGTGTACTATTCATTACGCTCTAATATCATAATTATGAGACGTACATATAGTACCATGCATTCTTGTCTTTAAAAAATAACGCAATATCTTCGAGATGAAAAAAATACATCGAAGATACTCAGATCAAACAATCTCATTATAGATCTTGTACGAATTTATGTGCTTGTCTTAAAACCATCATTTTTGATAAAATCGTGCTGTAATTTAATTTTCTTCTATTTTTAATGACGTCTATTATCTTTACTCACATATGAATATTTATTTATAAAAATTACAAAAAAAAAAAACTAAATGACAACAAAAGAAAAACTACTTCTATATCATCGAATTGATTGAATTATTTATGAAATGACTTTTTTTAACAGACACAGAAGATGTGTGTTTTCAATTCTAAAAAAAACTATAACTAAAACAAGAAGTCATAAGTGTTGCCACTGATTCTTTTAGAGTACTCCGAATAACCATACGACATGGGTACTGTATGAATCTTACAACATCTGTTTGTTACGAAGATTTTATATGATTTTCGTAAAATTTTTCCACTTGAATATTTAGTTTATAAGAAGAAAAAAAAAGCAATACATCTATTAGCTACTGAATTTTCATCAATTATTTACAGTTTTAGAAATTAAAACACATTTTGTTGAAATATATATTCTATTGAACAGAATAAATATAGTCAATTTACAAAGCATGCTATTGCAAGCTCAACTAAATTCTAAGCTTATTTGTACATATATATATTACAAATCACTAGTTTCAAATTTTATCAAACAAAACATACAATTCAGCGGTTAACTTCATGTATATTGATCTATTATTAACGAATACGATAAATAAAATAAAGAAAAAATATTACGGAAGCCACTATATTTAGATACATGAATTATCAACAGCAATCATTTCGACATCTATAAAGTAATTCCACTTCTTGAGTTCATTTCTCTATTCAATAATCATCTTTTGTTAAGAAAAAATAAACTATGAAATATATATTCTCTTATGACAGTTGTGCTCTTCCATGGTTGGATTTATGACATACGAGAAAAAAAGAACTTACTCGAGTATTCATTTATTTTCTATATGTGTTCTTCCCAGAAGAATGTACTTAAAATGGTTTTTTTTTTACCATGTAAGAGAAAATATTAGCTCGTCTTTATAGTATAATGTCAAATGTCGATCTTATGTGTATAAACTCAAGGGAATTTCTTTTGCTAGACTTTGTTTGATTCTTATAAAATACATCAGAACAATTATATTATATTGAAGGAGAAAAGACACACACACACAAAACTATTGAAATTTCATATCACTACCGATTGATTGTTTCGTTCAATACAACGATAATAAAATCACAACAAATTCGATTCATATTGCAAGAAAAAAACAGATGAATGAAAGCAGAAAAGAAAAAGCATCCAATTTCATATGAGTATGTGACGAGCAATGACTACTGTGATGTAAGCTATCGGATAGAAAGAGAAAAGAAACGTCGCTTGTCTTAATTACTCTTCTTTAGTCTCGATCACGCAATATTTACCTGTCTTGCTTTTTTTTCTTTCGTTTACTCGTTAAACAAACGATCTATCCGTTTCATAAGCTAACTATTTTCGATCACTCTTCTTCTAAACTTTTACTATCACATCAACAAAACGTGTGAATTAACCCATGATCTTCTTCTTATTCTGTTTATTCGATCTTCAATTCCAGGTAGAATAGAATGATTTTATCTTCAGTGTCTTATCATTGTTGAATAAAAGTTTTTTTTTTTTTTTTATTCTATATGTATGTTCATATTTTATAGTATAACTTATGTAGCAGATGCCAAAGAACAGCATCGGTACAAGAATGGTTTGGTGGTGGTATCTAATACTTGTAACAATTCATTTAATTCAAGCACAAAATGTATTTGATGGAGGAGGAGGATTTTTAGCAGATCCTTTTCTTGAACTTACAGCAGGAGTTACAAGTCCTGTTAATGAAAAATCTACGAAATCAGATTCAACATGTGTATCAAATGGAGCTCTAGCTGGTTCAATTATTGGTACTTTAATATTATCTGCTTTTATTGCTTTTCTTATATGGGTAATCTATTTAAGACAAAAGTTACAAGGTTTGTTTGCCTTTTTGACTCTTCTATTATTTTCTTACACTCTTAACACATAATTGAAAAATAAAAGCAACTTTATCTTGTGTCATATTTTAAAGTCAATGAAAATCTTTTATTTTTCTTTTATTTAATTCCATTCAATAGAAGTACAATCATATAAAAATCAAACAAAAAAACAAGAATCAACATCATCAAATCATCATCGTACTTTTCCTTCACTTTCTAAACATGAACAACAAAATATTAAACACCATACAAATAATGGTTAGTTTAAAAAAAAAACATTGTTTTTCTATATAAAAAAAAGTGTCTCAATTTTTATAATAATTCATAAATTAGATCGCATGGGTAATCAATTACCATTGGATGTTGCAGATTATAAAGTAAGAATAACAAAAAATTGTTTAGTCATAATTCTTTTGATAATCTTGAACTAGAATATTGTATATTGATTGATGTATGACACGATATGAAAACATGTTTTTCTTTATGTGTTACTCAAATCCTTATATATATATATATATGAATTTTTTTATCATGTAGAATAAAGATTGTCTCTAAGTTTGATTTATCAGTAAGAGTATATTGAGTATAAATGAAACTAATAAATTTCGAATAAGAATAGTTTTGTAATAGAAAAAAACATAAGACAATCTTTTAATAGAGAGAAATCGTATATTCAGAAATTTGATGTCTTTCGAAGAATTTTTATTTTAATATGGTGATGTCTGAGACTAAAATTTTAAATATTGTAAATATAGAATTTCTACACTCTTATCTAAATAAACAAATAAAATATCTTATTTCATTTAGTTTGGTACATTTCCATTTCGTCAATCTCAAACACCAAGTGTTAATGGTCATTATAATCATGCAGATTGGTTAAATCGTGTTCCATCATCATTTCGTTCACAGACTACAGATCAAGTAATGTAGTTTTTTATAATCATTTTATTGATTAATTTTTTTTTTTGAAAATAGGATGCACAAATGATTGATATTGAATTATTAAATCCAACATTTTGTGGTCTTAATTTTAGTATAACCGGCAATATGCGTGCTGGAATATTCGTCAAAGACATACTTGATAAAGAAACTTCACAAGGACATATTAAATTAAATTCTTCTGATCAATTACGAACAGGTTGTTTTATTTATTTCTTATTCATTTCTTATAAGATATGTTCTTTTTTTTTTTTTTATTTGGCATAGGTGATCGTATTATTGCATTGACTATATGTTTTGAATCGATAGTTTATGAAGATGCATTGACAATTCTTAGTTATGCATCACCTTATCCAGTATTTTGAATTTTTTTATTAAAGAAAAGAGAATATTTGTTTGAGTTTATTAGGTTATTCTTCGTGTTCAACGTCCTATACATTCAACAAAAATAGATATTCTAACAGATAAACGAGCAACAACAGCAAATTCATCAAATAAAGTCAAATGGCGAGATGATTTTGATCATTATGATAATGATAGTAATATCTTTCATTTGTTTAATTATTTTTTTTTGAAAAATTTTCATAATAATAATAATAATAATAATAATAATCTAGAAATTAGTTCGTACTGACTAAGTTTTTATTTTTTTTATTTTTCAGCACCACACAATCGTTCTATTGTTCAACAAGATCCATCAATAACTCTTATTACAGATACGAAATCTTTTTCATCAACAACTCATCCTCGTTCAACATCAAAAAAAACTCATACACAATCATCACGTCATAACAAATCATCATCAACTAATAAAGGTAATAAATTACAAACAGTATCGAATAATGTTGGAGTTACAACAAAATCTTCGGATGTTGGTATAAAAATACATCGAGATAAAACACTAAATCAAATAATGTTAACATCAACAGGTTTAACAGCAAAACCAATCGATAAAATTTTAACATCACCCATGCCAACAAATAAAACAACAATGAAATCTGTTACTAATGCAGTTATTTCTTATCTTCATTATCGAGGTGCTAATACAGGAAATGTAACAGGTAGACAGATCAATAAGGGATAAATAAAGCAACGCATGTATTTGCATCTATTGCATGAATGACTTATTAACAAAAAAAAATATATATTTGATTATTCGTACTAATTGTTCTTTGTTCTGCTTTAGATGTGACTAACAATTCTGAAGCAACATTAATGGTATGTTTATTCCTTTCAGAAAGAGAGTATATATACTGATTAAAAAAAAAACAAGCATAGAATAATCAGTTGTAAATCTAGTTTTTTGTCCATAAATGATTGGATCGAACTTAAAAAAACATGACTCAACAAAATGAATAAGCAAGTGAAAAATTGTAATCATTACAAACTATACTTCTAACTAAGATTGACACAATAGTGAATGATATTTTGTAAATAACATCTTACAATACTTGGAGGATCTGAAAGAGACTTCTAGGTGCGATTCGAGATGGTACTGCGTGTTTAATATGAAATCTTAATCATTAACTAGGGTCTGATGCAATTGGAATAAATCTAGAAGGATTCTTCCCCATGCACTTCTTTCTTGGAGTTATGACCGTTACACTAGATTTTTCACCTTTGGCACAGTATTTATAAAAAGAAAAGCGGATAAACAAATTTCGGTCTAAAACTTTACCAATAGATAGTTCTTAAAGTCATTAGAATCTTCTAAAACTTTCAACCAAAATGAGTTGTCTCTTCTCGAGATATCTAATGCACAAAACGGTATAATATTTCGTATATTCTGCACATTTGTGTGTTCAACAACTTCGCTGTTTACAAAGGAAAAGAAATAGCTTTACTATGATAATTTTTTACAACAAATAGTGAAGTGATCATTCCTCAATAATGCCCGTGTAAACTTTTATTATACAAATGAATCATGAAAATATGACATATGACGCAAGTTTTACACAATAATACAAGATATCACTTTCAATCAAAAAGTGTTGTTACTAGTTCTACCGAAACTTGGATCATCTTGCCCATATTTATGTACAAATCTCAGTACCAGCATTCATGAAATGATTCTGAACCAGTTACTAATCACTATTTGTGTCAGATCACCTGTCCAATAACCTGTAAACTACGTTGCGAAATATTCCTGCTCTTGTCGTTGATTAGTGCGTATAGAAAGCGCAAGAACTCTGTATCAGGTTGGTCTTCTAATAGAACAGAAGTTTTCTTGTATTTTATAGCCTTATTACGATTCTCCATATGATTATTATGGTGGACAAGCATCTCAATCACATCTAAATAAAAATAATAATAATAATTCCGTGTCAACTGAATCTTTAACTGCTGTCACATCAATTTATACAATACAATTATCACCAATAAAAACAAATATTTCGACTCAACGAGCCATGATTCCACGTCGATGTGAACGACGTCTTTCGTCCCCTGCTGCAATTTTACCTATAGCTGTTCAACAAGTTGATGATAATGATATTTCATTTAAGAATATTGACACATTTGTGTAATTCTTTTTTTTGTGTTTTTTTTTCTTGTTTTAATAAGAGAGCAATCGATGAAAATTATGAAATTATATTCGAAAAATAGAAATAAATTCTTCATTGCAAATAAAAAGTATGTATATCTATGGTCGGCTTGACATATATATTTTTTTGGAATATTAAATCAAAGCAAATACTTTTAAAATTAGAAGTTTATTTAAAGCTAAAACGACTGTCAAAGGATCTAGATCTACGTAGATTGTTAAAGTCAAATATTTTTGCTACGTAAGAGATTGATTTTTATTTTACAAGCAATCATTATAACATAAAATGGCGTTATCAAATGCACATCTTTTTCCAAATATATCTCAAGAATGACCCGGCCAATTGATCTGAAATTTTTCATGAACATACATCTCGATGAGTTCTACTCAGAATAAAGTGTTTAGCTGAAAACATTGAGCCCTTAACTTTTTATGATTCATCAAATCTGGATGAAAGCTTACGTTTCAGACAAATTTGATGCTTAAAAAAATTCTAGCCCTGTACATCGTTTTGACGAATGTCGTGGTTTTCAGACGAGATTCTGAGAAGTTGGAAGATTCATCTAAGGTATACAAATTCATGGTAAATTCAGTCTGAACCGCCTAGAAATGACTTGTGGTAGAAGTCATCTTTAAGAATCTTATACTAGATGTATTCTTCTTAAGCAGAATTCCATCATTTGCTTTATGACATATTTTTAATTATTAGATCTAGACTATTTTTGATGCAGAACACAATGTTCATAGTCTTTTATTTGTATTTCAAAGTTTACGTTACCAAAAATAAAAAAATAAAATGAATATTTGATTTGATGTTTTACATAAAAACTCCAATCATAAAAATTATAATATAGGAGCTAATACATTTTATACTACGACTGACTGTAGCCAATCAAAAGTCTTAAATTTTGCTCAACTTAAAATACATGCATCATACATTATTATTTTTCAATGAAGAAACTGTAATCTTTCAAAAATATAGTAATACAAAATAATATCAATCTGACAATAATACAAATGAATTTCTCTCAACGAAAAACATCTGATATATTCTCTATTGTAACATTTAACAGATCAAATCGTTGAGAAACATTAAAAAAACCTAGTATTTTAAAACATATGACTTGCTATCTCATAATCGATCTTACAAGGCAGAATGTGAGTATGAATCTTCTCTTCACTAATATCCATACTCACACAACAAATGTCTTTCATTTAATCAGAGAACACGGCGACCTATTTCAAGAAAAGAATTTTTCCTCAGCTATATTCTTACCTTCATCATGGTCGACAAGTCAGAATATTGTTGTCATACGCGAAGTACGACTATATGATCAGAAAATAATTTTCGTACAAGTCACATTACTTGAACAGCTGTGTCTACATCAAAATATTTGTGCAAAGAATAAAGCAAAAAATTAGGAATTATGATATCTAGTCATACTAGATCGTCCGAAATTAGTGAAAAAACAGCTTTTTTTTCTACACACTTCGATGCATCCTACAATCTAGAAAAATCGAAAAAAATCTTTTCGTGGAAAAATTTTCTCATAGCAGTAAACCAGTTTTTCGGAATCTCAGAACTCTGGAGACCTAGCAGCACGCAATACACGGCTATATGGATTCAGCATGGTTGACTATCTATTAATCTCTACGTTTCGACTCTAATGCAATTTATCACTGGGATATATTCATTTATATATCGAAGCCAAAAACACGTCAAAACTTTTCTTGTTGTTCTAGATTCACTTAAATAAAGACTTCTGATTCAAATTTTGATATTCAAGTCTGATGCACTATTCATTTCTCTTGAAATTGATATTAACTTAAGTTATATTGATTTATTTTTCTTAGAATTCAGAAATTGCTGATGTAAAACAGCAATTTTTGTACATTTTACAACATTATAAATATAACTGATACTGCGTTCTCTTCTAGATGAGAATTTTTAACCCAGTGCTATTTCAAGACGGTTTTGTTCGCACTCTTGTTCACTTGTTCTTTGTATTTGCATTATAATTAAAAGAGACGGCTGTTTTTTTTATTTCCATTGGCGCAAAAAATATTTACTGTTGAATTCTCGTTACGGAAGGGTATTCGCTACTAGTCCATTCGTGATGATAACCATGACTTGTCGGCAAGATTTTAATTGTTGTAATGGCTAAATGATAATAACATCAGATAGCTGCACAAGATGTTTTATAAACTTGATTCCGTAAATGTTGCTTGCTGAAATGCCAATGTTGACTAGAATATTCCATCAATATTCATATAATTGTTTTCTATTTCTTTATCGGGATTAACTAAATAAAAGAAAAATAAACTAATTTAGAATTTTAAAGGTTCAATAAAATTTTCAACTTGTCATCAATTTTTCTTATTTATTATTATTGTATTTTATAATTTTTTTTAATATCCCTTAATAACAAATGTTACTTTTTTTGTTCTTTTACTTTTAATTCTAATATTTACAGTTTGATTATCAAAAATTCAATAATCATATGTCGTATACTCTTGAAAAAACAATAACTCAATTCCAATATGTAAAATGAATGAAGTATTACAACAATACGTTTCAAACTTTCCTACAGTTGATATAATACAAGATTAACTATTCATCTTGCACTAGTGATGATTAAGCAAAACATGAATGTTACATAGAATCTTTCGAAGTCACTTCTATACAACTTTCATGTATTTGTATTAATCATTATTAGATAGTATTGGTAAGAAAGTCATTAGTAGATCACTCTAAGATTCTTTGCAATACATAAATAGAGTCCTGCAACGGGGTCGGGTACCCGGCACCCGACCGGACCCGAAACTGTGGTCCGGGTACAAATTTGCCGGGTCGGTTCGGGTGCCGGGTATAAAAAAAAATGCCGGGTCGGGTGCAAGATTTGAGCATACCCGGTACCCGACCGGTAGTCGATGACATCTTAACAAGTAAAAGTATTTTACACTCTAGGATAGAGTCCTGCAACGGGGCCGGATACCCGGCACCCGATCGGACCCGGAACTGTGGTCCGGGTACAAATTGTTACTTGATGAAATTAAAATAATAGTATATTTTGCCATATGAAATAAAAGTTTGAGAAGTGAATATAATTTTGACAATAACAATCAAGTGCTGACTATTTCAAGGCTGGGCCGGGTCCGGTCGGGTACCGGGTAGAGCTATCCGGGCCCGGTTCGGTTCCGGGTGGAAGATGACCGGGTCCGGTCGGATTCCGGGTTTGAAAAAAATGAGCCGGGCCGGGTCCGGGTGCGAAAAGTAGTACCCGTGCAGGACTCTATACATAAATAACAACGTTATTGCATAGTAATGGAGATGACTCTTATTTACTGAATAACATTATAAATATATCACACTTAATTACTATAGTTATTATGTTTTCTAACATAATTTTGTTTTATCTGGATAAGTATTTATGGTTTTGTTCAGTATCAAGAATTTCTCGAACAAAAACTAAGATTTTTCTTTAGTTTTCTATATATATGATTGCTAACAAGAAAAGTAAGTACTATGTTGAAAATATTTCTAAATAACTATCTTCAATTGGAATTCGAAAGAGAATATTTTTTCTACAGATGAACTAAAACATCGACAATACTTTATCGTTTTTAGTTTCAGAATCAACCTCAACGTCTTGATGATTAAATAATGACATCAAAACCATATATGAACTCTATATAAATTAAAATAATAAAATTCTTTAAATAAATGTCGGAAAAAATCGATAAGAAACTTTTATTTAGTAATATTGAAAAAATGTTTAATAACATTTCTACCATCAATTACAATGTTGCTGAACACTTGTAATACGCAATAAAGAGTTGAAAGTACAAAAAACTAGTTTCGTCTAATTCATGCAAAGACATCAACATACGAATATCGACATACTACTGTTCTATTACGAAGAAATATTTAAAAAACATAAAGAACATTATGATAAATAAAAAGTGTTAATTATACTTTTTCCAGGAGGAAACTGCGACGTCTAATTCAATTGCTCTGACGGAAACTGATCAACATATGAAGCCATGTTTTTTTTGGCATACAAGAAAAAATTTTACTAAAAATAAAATAAACAAAATTAATATAAAATGTTTACTGTATAACAAACCAAATTCATTGAATATTGAAAAATCCATATACAGTTTCACTTGTATTAGTTTTCTTTTATTGCATATACGATCGCTTGATCATCATGTAAAAAGAAAGCGAGAAAAAAAAGTATTAATATTGTCTGTTCAATGATGCGCATCGGTCACATGGGGAGGTATGAATATTTTTTTTTTTCTGTCAGTTATGAATAAATGTATATAATAAATAAAATGAAGATTCATATTCTCTTGACATTAAAAGCAAAATATGATAAACTGCATTTATTCATTCTAATCGTTCTTCAATATTTATTCAAAAATTTGATATAATCAAATTATGTGAAGCATATTGTTATTTATTTCTTCTTCAGAAATGAATCGAGCATAATATTAAACTTGAGTTTTTTTTTCAAATATTTTTCATCAATACAGAAATATTTTATTATAAGAAGCAAAATAAAAAAAAGACTAAAGAAATTCAGTAAAATTAAAATGGATCCATGTGTAGTTTTAAGTGTGAGTTTGTGTACGTAGAAGAATAGAAGGTTGTTACAGTTGTCGCATTGTTGATGCTATTGGTCTTACTTGACTTCTAGGAAATTTTAATTTTATAATTCTTTGTTTAATTTGTGGAGTGATAAATACGATTAATATACTAAGTATGAATATGGTTACTGTGGGACCCATAAATTGAATTCGATACATATAGTAAGAGCCTGAAAAACGAGGATTAATATTTGTCATAAGAGCAAAAGTCAGATTTGGTATTCCGGGTAAAGTAAGAGCAATGACAGTAAATAAAATACGACGAGTAATCATTAGATCACGTTGAGTTCTTCTTCGCTGTCGTTGTTGTGGCAATTGAGAAGCCTGATGATGAATAAAATTCAGACAACGGCCATACATTATGGACAGATAAATAATTGGAAAAAAGAAAATATTCAGAACTGTAAAATAAAGTCCCAGAACTTTTTCATATGGAATACCACAATAATGATCTAATTCATATAAAGAATACAGCGATCCCGGCCAAAAGTATGATGGAAGAAGTAGAAGAAAGTAAACAATCCATTGAAGTACAATAGAAATTAAATTGAATGCAAATGCCTACAATTTCATTGAAAAGTAGATATCATATATTTCATTCATACGTTTTTAAAAACTACTTAAAAATGGCTACAAATTGTTTGCTAAATAAAATTTCTATGTGCTCAGTAAAAATATTGAACGCTAAGTTAATTACAAGTTTCTCAGTAAAAAAAATATTTGCTAAGTTTGATAGATAATCGCTAAGTAAAAAATATTTTTGTTAAGTTAATAAGTCGAAATTATATTAAAAAAATGGAATCGCTAAGTAAAAATTATTATTACTGAGTAATTTTCAGTAAATGTAAAGTACGATTGTCGAAGATAAGAAAAATCTTTTTTGTAGTACTATAATGTATATTTTGTTTTTTCTTGCTTTCCTTCTACCATCATTCGACTGATATCGTGATATATATGTCAACATTCAATTTCGAATTCACTCCAATCTCGGAAAGTTCACATTGAATTAGTCCACTGTTAAGTTCAGAAAATGTTTTTATTAAAACCTTCGTCACTCTCAAGACATATGTTAGATTCAAAATTCTCGTTGATGAACTATGATGGAGCAATGGTACTTCATATATTAAAATTATCAATGCAGAATCTACGTTCGAATTTGAACTCTAATCGATAGTTTTTGTAAAAAACTGTTCTTCTATAGAGATTTACGTAGAGGTTCACGACTGTTACTTAAATTTGTATATTGACTATTGTATTTTCTAGAGTATCATTACTGCAAGACCATTTGTCAACAAGAATTTCGATCTAACATCTCTCTTGAGAGTAGCCGAGGTTTTAACTAAAACAAATTCCTCAATCCGACGTTGAACCAGCCCAAAGTGAGCACCTGAGATTGACCTAGACGGATCTAATATTGAAGTGAATCCAACACTGAATGCTGACACACATATATGTCACTTATAGATTTTTTCGTTCTGATGTAGGTGCCTGTTTTCTTAGAAAATGCTCTAGGACAATCCTACTTGTTTTTCTCGTGCTATTTCTTTTACATAAGATTTGTATTGCTTTCTCGAGACTTTTGTTCTATCTGGCACTTTTTGGTACGCTCTTCCCCTCGTTTTCTTATATGCTTCTGCTGATCTGTCATTGAAAGTTTACATTGAATTAAAATACTAAACTATAGCAATGCGTCGAAATAAAAAAGCCGACTTTGCGATTGTCCGAGCTTCTTCAAAGAATATATTTGTAAAAATATTTTAGGCATAGCTATTGGGTTGAAATTTTGTAAAACATCTCTATCAGCAAAGGATATCCTTTGGATAAAAAGAGAACACAAGAACGACCACGAAAAACAACAAAAGCTCTATTAATACAATAACTGTGCAATTAACTTTTTTACTTAGATAATCATGTCATTTTATTTAACAAAAATTATATATTTACTTAGCGATTTACAATGTTTTACTAAGAAAATCAAACTGTTTTACTTAGAATTTAAATAAAAAACTTAACAAAAATACTTTTTTTACTTAGAATTTTTTTCAATAAATTACCTAGCAAAAATTTAACTTTTTACTTAGCTTTTATTTAAAATTACTTAGCACTTAAATAGTAGCCCTTAAAAATTAATATAAATAATTATAACATGCATGTTTGAACAGGATGCATGAAAAAAAAACAAGAAGATTGAAATTTACAAACCTGCAAAAATTTGTATTTGTTATATACAACTCTTGTTAATCGATAAAATGCTTGAAGAACTAAAGTCATATAACAACAACCGAATGTTTCATATGCAAGAAAACCTAAAAATCGACATCTAATTAATTGTTGGTCGGTAAGACCAGTAGTACCATATAGATCTGCTTTAAGAACAATAATAGTTTCTGATAAAATGACGACACCATATACAATCATAGCTGCATATGTATTTGCTATCAGAAGAATTGAAACATCTTGTTTTTGTCGTAGATGAATAACCAAGATGAACAGCAAAGTGAAAGCAATCAATATTATTAAACTAGAGCTGATTAAAGTAACAAAAGTAAAAGCAATATTCGATAACATCGTTAGTTTAGATTGAATATTACATATGTGTCAAAGAAAATGATACTGTGTTTTTTTTTTATAGTTTTTCTCTTATTTATACTTTTATAAATGAGAGCATGCTCTTTTTTTGAATCGATAGACTGAATAAGTGTGTAATAACAGAACTTTTCTTATACTGTAAAACTCTAGTCGTATTTAGCTTTTGATTGCGTGCACTCAAAACATATCTAATGTTCTTTTTATTAAATCAAGTGAAAAAAAAAGAAAATGATTTTTTTAATATGTAATTTCAGTCAAATTTCGATTATATTCTTCAATTCAAAGTTGACAATGATGATGTATTTCCCAAGCAGACACACATTTTCAAAAACGCGTTTAAACGCACAAAAAAGGGCAAAAAGTGGTTGCTTTTCGCTGACAATCGGGAACCGTGATTATGAGCCAAACACGTCCACTTGTTGTGGATTTTAAGCACTTTTTTGTGCGTTTTTGAAAATGTTTGTCTGCTTGGGTTCAGAGACGTATATCGAATTTCTTTTTAGATTGGAAGTAGTGAAGCGTACAAATTTCATGAATACCTCTAAATTTGATGTTTTTTCTTCTTAATTGATGTATTTAGAGTAGCAATCACGAATTATTGCGAGGAATGCTAGCAATTAAAATGGCAAGTTGTCATATGAGTGCCGTTAATAATCTTCATTTATTTATTTTTCAGTTGCATTATCATATAATTTTAAGTTTATGTAAGGGATTGGAAATTTCAAATTTTCACAAATTTTTTTTTTCATGTTGTTTTTCAACTTTTTCTAAGTAAAAATTAGAAGTATGTATGAGGGAAAGGTCAATTTTGAAACTTAGTAAGTAAGCTATTTTTAACAAGAAACTAATGAATCTTTTTTCTATTGGGATCGCAATTTTTAAAGACGTTTGCCTGATTATTCACATAAAATCATTTTATGACGCCTATTTTTAACATAAATTTTTTTCTAAATCAACTTTGTGTGAATTACTAAACAAAAGTTTTTAAAGTGTTCAATGGAATGAAAGAAAAAACATATTCATTCCATTGTTATTGAAAATTGTTTTTTTTTTTTACAAAGCTCTAGAATTGACCTTTTCTTCATATGATATTTTGAACTTTTCTTAGGTATCTCGGTATGCTTCATTCAATCACGCAACAAAAAGTACATCGAAAAAAAATACATTGTGGCAGTTGTGAATTTCTGCACCTAATGCTCTTGAGAAATTTTCTTGTTGAATGAAGAAAACGTATAATACAATAAAGCTTTTAATTGATGTCAATCTTTATTGAAGTCTTGTCAAATCTCGAACAGAGAAACACTCAAGACTATATTATATCATGTTAAAAACAAATGAAGATGAATGAAATAGAAAGATGCATTATGAATTCAATTATTTTCAGCATCACTATATTATAAGAATTTATTTATCTTGCACAATAAAAAATATTTTAATCTAATTACTTTAGAAGCATTAGGAAATATGGACTTCCACTTAAATTATAAAATGAATCAACTATTTATATTTTTTTGTTTAGTTTATTGAATACATGTTGAATTATTTTATGAAAATGAAGTCATCGCTTACTACATATCATTGTAAAATGTTTGTCTGTTTATTTGTGCAGTTTCTTTCAATATATATTTCAGGAGTATTTTCTATACAAATAATAAACATTCAAAGAAGTAAATAAATTCAAATCAATGATGATGTATGAATTGATAATGTCTTTACTAAACTACAATTCTAGAAAATAAGGTATTTGATACAAAATCTAAACCTAATTTTAGTAACTGAGTCATTAGTTTAAAGGTTATCGATCGTTTAAGAATTGTAAATAGTATGACTTCTTTGCATTTTTTGTTTTCGTATGATCGATGTGCCTTGAAACATGGAGTAGAATGAGTTTTTTAATATTATGCTTTGACTATCCTATAGTATCACAGCAAAGAAATAGATTTAATATTTTTTGCAAAGTGAGTGAAAAAAATTACGAATATGATATCTAATGAAGTATTCAAACATCAACTCAATCATTCATATTCTTCTCTTCTTGATTTTTTTAAAATTTTTCTTCGATTACTAATAGAGAACAGTCAACATATAAGTCGATTTTCCTGTATTTAAAAAGAATCTATTGAGTTGTTACATTAAGATTAATTGAACGATATTCAATATGCACGTGATTCCTTTTGAAATTTCACATTTAATCATATTCATATGACAAGAATCGGAAAGGTTCAAATCTATATGTACCATGACGAAGAAAATAAAATTAGACAAACCAGGTAGTATACGGGTATTTACAATTACACAAAATACAACAAATGACAATCAAGTTAATTTGACCTCTTGTTCCTTGGAGAACTTGTGACAATGGAGGTGACGAGAGGTTTTCGATGAATATAAAACGCTTAGAAAGTATAAATGATGGTCAGATAAAAAAAAAGGACAAAGAATATGCATATTCATTTCTGTATAGAAAAGATTACTAGTTTTTTTTTTCAAAAAGAATATCATTATAGTAAATTAACTTGTATAATATGCAGATCGAATGTGGATAACAAAGTGATGATAAAAAAAGTAAATGATCCATTGAAGCAATTCACAGAAACATTAAATGAAACTGACAACGATAGTAATTGATGAAAATATGAAACTTGATTAACTATTCAAGACAAATTTCGAATTTTTATGATATAATCCTAGTAACGCAAGACTTATGTCACAAAAACGATTGGAATACAGCTGTTGATTCTCTAATTTTGGTGGAGATAGCTCTGTTTGAT